AGATGTGTATAAGAGACGAGGGTATGTGATGCACAAGACGAGATTTAGATGAGGGTATGTGATGCACAAGACAATATTTAGATGAGGGTATGTGATGCACAAGACGATATTTAGATGAGGGTATGTGATGCACAAGACGAGATTTAGATGAGGGTATGTGATGCACAAGACAATATTTAGATGAGGGTATGTGATGCACAAGACGAGATTTAGATGAGGGTATGTGATGCACAAGACGAGATTTAGATGAGGGTATGTGATGCACAAGACGAGATTTAGATGAGGTTTCGGGAGCTGCTAAGAGTGTAACAATAGAGGGAACATTCGGGCGGAAAATCAGAAGAAGATTTGGGCAAAGAGATGGGACGAATGCACGAATTTGCAACAGGATTTGCAAAAACTTAAATTTGCAGGTCCATTGAAGCCTTGCGGTCAAATTTTGCGTGTGTAATGGATAAAAATGTGATCAGATCTTTAGTTTGTTTTAAAAAATCATTGATGTAATAGCCCGATGATATAATGGCCCGAAATACTGTGAGTATATTTCGTGGTTGGACGCCAATACAAATAATTTAAGAAATAAAAACTGAACACCCATTACAATTTACGGTCATGGCGAAAAATTAGCGATTGTCATATATAAAAATTTTCTGATGAAAAGTTATATTTAAGTTCACTAAATTTTGGATATAAGCACAAAAACTCAGTATAATAAATATAAATAGATATGATAATAACTGTAGGAGACTTGTTTTTTGAACAAAACATTTATAGAAAAATCTGGAGCTCCTTCGAGCTATTTTTGAGGCTCGAAACCTGACAGCCTACAGCCTACCTGCCCTGATTTGCATTTATTGATTTCACGGTAGGCCTACGGCAGCGATGTGACGTGTACATCACACACTAAACGTGTACATCACACACTAAACGTGTACATCACACACTAAACGTGTACATCACACACTAAACGTGNCCACTCACCTGGGGAGGCAGCCAAGCCCCACTCACCTGGGGAGGCAGCCAAGCCCCACTCACCTGGGGAGGCAGCCAAGCCCCACTCACCTGGGGAGGCAGCCAAGCCCCACTCACCTGGGGAGGCAGCCAAGCCCCACTCACCTGGGGAGGCAGCCAAGCCCCACTCACCTGGGGAGGCAGCCAAGCCCCACTCACCTGGGGAGGCAGCCAAGCCCCACTCACCTGGGGAGGCAGCCAAGCCCCACTCACCTGGGGAGGCAGCCAAGCCCCACTCACCTGGGGAGGCAGCCAAGCCCCACTCACCTGGGGAGGCAGCCAAGCCCCACTCACCTGGGGAGGCAGCCAAGCCCCACTCACCTGGGGAGGCAGCCAAGCCCCACTCACCTGGGGAGGCAGCCAAGCCCCACTCACCTGGGGAGGCAGCCAAGCCCCACTCACCTGGGGAGGCAGCCAAGCCCCACTCACCTGGGGAGGCAGCCAAGCCCCACTCACCTGGGGAGGCAGCCAAGCCCCACTCACCTGGGGAGGCAGCCAAGCCCCACTCACCTGGGGAGGCAGCCAAGCCCCACTCACCTGGGGAGGCAGCCAAGCCCCACTCACCTGGGGAGGCAGCCAAGCCCCACTCACCTGGGGAGGCAGCCAAGCCCCACTCACCTGGGGAGGCAGCCAAGCCCCACTCACCTGGGGAGGCAGCCAAGCCCCACTCACCTGGGGAGGCAGCCAAGCCCCACTCACCTGGGGAGGCAGCCAAGCCCCACTCACCTGGGGAGGCAGCCAAGCCCCACTCACCTGGGGAGGCAGCCAAGCCCCACTCACCTGGGGAGGCAGCCAAGCCCCACTCACCTGGGGAGGCAGCCAAGCCCCACTCACCTGGGGAGGCAGCCAAGCCCCACTCACCTGGGGAGGCAGCCAAGCCCCACTCACCTGGGGAGGCAGCCAAGCCCCACTCACCTGGGGAGGCAGCCAAGCCCCACTCACCTGGGGAGGCAGCCAAGTCCCACTCACCTGGGGAGGCAGCCAAGTCTCACTCACCTGGGGAGGCAGCCAAGCCTCACTCACCTGGGGAGGCAGCCAAGTCCCACTCACAAGCCCCACTCACCTCAGGGGGTCTAAAGGAGGAGGCAGGTAGGGGAAGGATGCGTAGAAGTTATCCTTCTTGTTCGTCTTAGGCTTGCGTCGCGGCCTGTACTTGTAGTCTGGGTGATCCCGCATGTGCTGTGCTCTGTGGGATATAGTGAGAGCTTTAAACATTATAAAACGTTTAGAACATTTGAAACGGGAGACCTTAGAAAAACATTTGAATCATGAAACTTAATAAGATCATTAGAACATTTGAATCATGAAACCTACCAAGATCATTAGAACATTTGAATCATGAAACCTACCAAGATCATTAGAACATTTGAATCATGAAACCTACTAAGATCATTAGAACATTTGAATCGTGAGACCTTATAAGAATGTTTGAATCATGAAACAGCAAACGTATTAGAAACATGAAGTAAATTCGAACAACATTAGAACGAAGAAAAAATAAATGTATATCACTCAGAGAATTAGTTGGACATTGTCCCAATAATGATGCACTCTTGCTCATGTGTGTGCACTTAACAGGTACAAACTGCACCATATGTACACCGTAGGTACACTTCACAGGTACAAACTGCACCATATGTACACCGTAGGTACACTTCACAGGTACAAACTGCACCATATGTACACCGTAGGTACACTTCACAGGTACAGGTCAGTCTTATAGGAATAAATGAGGTCGAAGCAGGCGATGCCAAAAGCAATCTTATTTCTTCAATAGCAGGTCCTCGCTGACCAATAGCGGTCGCGCATTCACTGGCCCCGCTATCAATTCAACAATTGAATTGAAGTGTTGCTGTTGAATACGTAAAAGAAACTTGTTGACGGCATTAGGGAAACTTGTATGTGGCGCTCGCCTGCCTCGGGGTCATTCTAATGGGGAGGGAAAACTGTTTTGGGTTGAGGAGAGGAAATGTGTTGAGTGTTTTGGGTTGAGGAGAGGAAATGTGTTGGGTGTTTTGGGTTGAGGAGAGATAATGTGTTGGGTGTTTTGGGTTGAGGAGAGGAAATGTGTTGGGTGTTTTGGGTTGAGGAGAGGAAATGTGTTGGATATTTTGGGTTGAAGAGAGGAAATGTGTTTGGTGTAAAAGAACTGTTGAACTAGCAATGAGATGTGTACAAAACTTACTTGTTTTTATATTCTTCATCTAAACACATAAACTTTAGAATAAAATGTCTGTTTAATTAAATTTAAACTGAAGACTATTGCTCTGATAGTCACGCATAGTTAAACATAAAATGTCACTCGTAATAGAAGATATAAGTATGCATTAGAGGGCATTGTGTTCAACAATTATGCGCATTAAACCGCATTGTGTTGGAAACTTCCACAAGCACAAAGCAACGTCGAACTTAACACGCCACACCCCTCGTTGCGACCTAAACAATGCTGGACAACACCCCTGCTCTACTGTGTATATTGTCCTCTCATACAATATGTGGTAATTGCCTATATCTTGTATAAACACACCACCCACTCATTCTATAATAACTAATCTCTCCTACTATATGTGTCCATTGCCAATATCTGGTATAAATACACCACCCACTCATTCTATAATAACTAATCTCTCCTACTATATGTGTCCATTGCCTATATCTGGTATAAACACACCACCCACTCATTCTTTAATAACTAATCTTTCCTACTATACATATGTGGTCATTGCCTATATCTGGTATAAATACACCACCCACTCATTCTATAGTAACTAATACTCTATATACATTTATTTCGTATCCCTGGCATACTTACATCGCCCAGTTATCATATATACTCGTATATATCGTTATATAAATTTATTCATCAACAAGTCCTCCTATATATACAAAACTCCGTTTTCATATCTATACAATACACATTGCTACAATATATTCATTAGGAGTGAATTAACGAATGAACAGTATTAACGACTAAATAAATATTTATTAACGACTGAACAGTAGTGTTTCTCTCTGAACACCGCTGTTCACATAGTAACAACATAACAATATTGTTCCGCACTAAACACCACTGTTCTTTAGCAACGCTTTTTATTTCATTCACTTAGTAAGAACATCCGCTAAGAACATTCGTGTTCAAATGGCCGTCTGAGCGATGCAATTGTTTTTATCAGGGCTGCCAATCCCGCGCTAAGTTTTGTAGGGAGAATAAATTCGCGGAACTGCGCTCTTGAGAACAGAGTTGGGCGGTCCCGTCCTTAGAGTTTCTCTTCACATTCAGGAAGAATGTGTAGAGTATCAAGAAGAATGTGTAAAGTATCAAGAAGAATGTGTAGAGTATCAGGAAGACTGTGTAGAGTATCAGGAAGAATGTGTAGAGTATCAGGAAGAATGTGTAGAGTATCAGGAAGAATGTGTAGAGTATCATGAAGAATGTGTAGAGTATCAGGAAGAATGTGTAGAGTATCAGGAAGAATGTGTAGAGTTTCAGGAAGAATGTGCAGTCATATAGTCACAATATATATAGTCACAATATACATCACAATATAGTCACAATACACATCACAATATAGTCCAATACACATCACAATATAGTCCAATACACATCACAATATAGTCACAATACACATCACAATATAGTCACAATACACATCACAATATAGTCCAATACACATCACAATATAGTCACAGTACACATCACAATATAGTCACAATATACATCACAATATAGTCACAATACACATCACAATATACATCGCAAGTGTTGACGAAGAGAGTGACGCTTGTTACGTCTCCGGGCAGCGCCGCTGTCTTGTTAGCGCCTCGTACAATGATAAAATAATTCTCCTTAATTTTTGCGCTAGGGAAGGGAAAACGGTAGCCTACAGAAAAAACGGTAGCCTGCAGGAATAAATGGTAGCCTACAGGAAAAAATGATAGCCTGCAGGAAAAAACGGTAGCCTGCAGGAAAAGGAGTAGCCTGCAGGAAAAACGGTAGCCTGCAGCAAAAACGATATCCTGCAGTAAAAACGATAGCCTGCAGTAAAAAATGATAGCCTGCGGGAAAAACGGAAGCCTGCAGTAAAATATGATAGCCTGCAGGAAAAGGAGTAGCCTGCAGGAAAAAAACGGTAGCCTACAGGAAAAACGGTAGCCAGCAGGAGAAAACTGTAGCCTGCAGAAAAAATGGTAGCCAGCGGGGGAAAAAATAGTCTGCAGGAAAAACGGTAGCCTGCAGTAAAATATGATAGCCTGCAGGAAAAAACGGTAGCCTACAGGAAAAACGGTAGCCAGCAGGAGAAAACTGTAGCCTGCAGAAAAAATGGTAGCCAGCGGGGGAAAAAATAGTCTGCAGGAAAAACGGTAGCCTGCAGTAAAATATGATAGCCTGCAGGAAAAAACGGTAGCCTACAGGAAAAACGGTAGCCAGCAGGAGAAAACTGTAGCCTGCAGAAAAAATGGTAGCCAGCGGGGGAAAAAATAGTCTGCAGGAAAAACGGTAGCCTGCAGTAAAATATGATCTGTCTCTTATACACATCTAGATGTGTATAAGAGACAGGTTTTGGGTTGACCATTCAAGCTAAACGGTTTTTGCGGTCAACTTTAACAAAAGCTATGATGACTTGTGAATGCAGCACTTTTTTCTGCAATAGAGACTTGGATTTCCATAGTACTGGTTACCACTGTAGCAAGTGTTTTACCGAATACTTTATCTTGAGCAAAAGTTTTTAGGCGACCTGAATGAGGCAATACATTTAGCATCGATAAAACTTACGAAAACGTGCCGCAAGTTTTCCAATTTCATGATAATGTGCCGCGCTCTTTATATCAAAGGCATTCTTCCACATGTGCATATATGACAAAAAATATCCAACTAAACGAATATTCATATATTCAGACTTATTTACCCTAGGTTATCTACGTTCAATTGCTATTGTACACCACGACTTCTGTATTAGAAAAAATACTCGTGCCTAATTCCATAGGTTATTGAGGAGTCATTGTAGCAAGACATTTATAGACCTTAAGAATTTTGCTAGTTAATTTATTCTGTTAAGAAGCTATCACAAAAATGAAAAATTTATTCAAATTTGTATACCAAAACAGATTTCATGTGTTTATAATTCAAATAATTAATGTTTACAAACATATATTAATTAATGTTACAAACTTAATGTTTCCAAACTTTCAATTAAAATGCACCTCCCCCNCCCCCAAATGAGGCAGAGAAAGAGGCCACTCATAACCCCCAAATGAGGCAGAGAAAGAGGCCACTCATAACCCCCAAATGAGGCAGAGAAAGAGGCCACTCATAACCCCCAAATGAGGCATAGAAAGAGGCCACTCATAACCCCCAAATGAGGCAGAGAAAGAGGCCACTCATAACCCCAAATGAAGCAGAAAAAGAGGCCACTCATAACCCCAAATGAAGCAGAAAAAGAGGCCACTCATAACCCCAAATGAAGCAGAAAAAGAGGCCACTGATAACCCCCAAATATTTAATTAAAAAACAACAATTTAACTCAAACCTTATCATAATTAAGCCAAATTTAATTACCCGTATTTTTATCGCCACGTGCTGATCAATTGACAACGAAAACACGCATTCACTAATGAAGCATGAATCTATTGAAAACACGCATTCACTAATGAAGTATGAACGTATTTACACGCACCACGCACGGACGCATTACACCCACGAATGAGAAGCGTGACATCACGCACTGCGTACCACGCGCACCCGTCGTGCGATTAGCGTGACCAGGCGAGCGTGAAGTGTGCGTCGTTGATCGCAGGGATTAGCGTGAGATAATCGATAACGGTCAGTGGGCACTGATTACCTGCATCACTGAGGCCAGCATCACTGAGGCCAGCATCACTGAGGCCAGCATCACTGAGGCCAGCATCACTGAGGCCNCGGTGGACATGGCAAGTCAGGTGGCAGAGACGCGGAGGACATGGCAAGTCAGGTGGCAGAGACGCGGTGGACATGGCAAGTCAGGTGGCAGAGACGCGGAGGACATGGCAAGTCAGGTGGCAGAGGCGTGGAGGACATGGCAAGTCAGGTGGCAGAGACGTGGATGACATGGCAAATCAGGTGGCAGAGACGCGGTGGACATGGCACGTCAGGAGGCCGAGACGCGGAGGACATGGCAAGTCAGGTGGCAGAGACGCGGAGGACATGGCAAGTCAGGTGGCAGAGACGTGTTGGACATGGCAAGTCAGGTGACAGAGACGCGGAGGACATGGCGATTAAGTCAGTATTCATTCTGCCACCTGAATTAATTCAACAAATTCTCTTTAATCCCAAAGTAAATCAATAAAATTTCATTAAAATAACAATACAAATTCCCAAGTCGGCCATTTGTACTAAGTACGAATTTAATGTCCCGCAGTTCCTCTCCGTTGGATTTAAATCGCCGCCATTAATCCTGAAGACGTCGTCAATGGCGGCCAAGAAAGCGGCGGGAAAATCCATCAATATTCTGATGAGTAAACAATCGGGGCATTTATTCACCTACTCATTCATTATGTATGAGGCTCCATGTGGACTCATGTTTAACATGTATTCATGAGCTCAAGCCGTACTCATTGTAAACTACTTACGGTTCCATTTAAAATCATACGGTCTTGCAAAAAATCTTAGGTCATCACATTAAATTCTATCTCCTCACATAAAATCCTAGGTTTTCATATTAAATCCTATGACCTCACAAAAAATCTTAGGTTTTCATATTAAATCCTATTACCTCACATAAAAATTTAAGACCACACGTAAATTGTTAGGACTTCAAATTCAATATTAAGCCCTAAAATAAAATCCTAGTGAATCGCATAAAATCTTAGGGTCTTACATTAATTTTTGAGCCTTTCATCAAATCTTAAGTCCCCTTTTAAAATACTTGGTCCATATATAAAATCTTAGGGCACCGAATAAAAGCTCAATGCTTCAAATAAAATCTTAGTGCCTCACATAAAATCTTGGCCGAGCTTCAATGCTCTTTTATGAGATGATTAACAAGCGAATGCTTCATTCTGACATAAAATTGAAGAACCAAAGAAGCTTCTTGAAGCGTTCTTCACAATCGAACGCCATTCGTGCGCCGCGATCGAGAACCCGGCTTCATCGAAACTAATTCAGCGTGACGCTGAATTTTCTGCGTATAAATCAGCGTTGCAAGTTATGAGGGGTTAGGTTATTATCAAGTCTGAATACAACGCATTGCTCTGCCAGCTCTGACAAATGCTCTGTCATTCCGGAGCAGTTGCTGCGCCGCGGTAAGTTTTCAGAGCAAACACGGATTTGCCTAATCCGGTAAATTACATTACCTTTTATTGATGGTAAATCAATTGCTGATGCGAAATTAAGTGGACGTTTAAGGAAATATTGCAAATGGAGGAACAACGATAGAATTCCATGCCTTCCTTGAGGTATATACGCCTTGAGAACATTTATTTACAGAGCACTTCTTCGAATTGTAGACTTCATTGTTAATAAAAGGGCAGCCATGAAACATACTGTGAATGGTGAAGGATGGAAAGGGGCGGTATAGAGAAAATTGTTCGTAAGAAATCCGTTTTTCTTTCATTTATCTTATTTTATTTATTTATTTTTTCTTAAATTCGTGCGTTATTAAGTTTTTGCAAAGCACGGTGATAATGGAGAAGCTGGCAAAGGAGAATAATGATATGAATGTTTTATATAAGGTAATAATATGAATCTTAGGTAATAGTATGAAGTGCAATCTTATGTAATAATTTGATCGACAATCTTAGGTAATAATATGAATGGCAATCTTAAGTAATAATATGAATGACAATCTAAGGCAATAGTATGAATGGCAATCTTAGGAAATAATATGAATGGCAATCTTAAGTAATAATATGAATGACAATGAACACAGGTGCAGTGAACACCGGCGCAGTGAACACCGGCGCCGTGAACACCGGCGCCGTGAACACCGGCGCAGTGAACACCGGCGCAGTGAACACCGGTGCAGTGAACACTGGCGCAGTGAACACCGGCGCAGTGAACACCGGTGCAGTGAACACTGGCGCAGTGAACACCGGTGCAGTGAACACCGGTGCAGTGAACACCGGTGCAGTGAACACTGGCGCAGTGAACACCGACGCAGTGAACACCGGTGCAGTGAATACAGGTCACATTTACGGTTCAAGCCCTCAACCCTACATGCCATCTAGAAGTTAATGACCGCATCGGCATTGCTATTCACGCGCCTTTTTAAGCGGCAACCCTAACAAAAGTCGCCCCAGCTTCTGGTAATCCAAATCAGAAGCCGCCGCGTCTGTAAATTTTCACTGGGTTAAGAGAATAAACTGTTCTCACTCATATAAATAAGTGAGGTATTGTCTAAATAGCCACGCGCATTTTTACCTTAAGCGGGTCAGCTTGACCCAGTTTGGCCCACCCAAAAGACGTATCAGTGCTACGTTCATTCTCTGTTCGTGCTGTGGGTGAGACAGTGTGGTATTATTTGGACAAACGACCCTTACATTTTCTGAGTATACGGCGAGACAGACGCGAGGGGCGGTAGTTTCCGGACGCTTTTGACCCTCGAGACATTTCAAATACTGAGAGAAATGAGGGGAACAGAGGGTTGTTTTGAGACATTTCAACCGCTGAAAAGTATAAAAGAAATAGTGAGTTATTTTGAGACATTTTGACCACTGAACAGTATAGAAGAAATAGTGAGTTACTTTGAGACAGTTCAACCACTGAACAGTATAGAATAAATAGTGAGTTACTTTGAGACAGTTCAACCACTGAACAGTATAGAAGAAATAGTGAGTTACTTTGAGACAGTTCAACCACTGAACAGTATAGAATAAATAGTGAGTTACTTTGAGACAGTTCAACCACTGAACAGTATAGAATAAATAGTGAGTTACTTTGAGACAGTTCAACCATTGAAAAAACCAGGAGAAATTGAGGATTGCGTTGAAACATCTGGATAATAGAAAAAGAAGGAAAATTTGTTGCGTTGGAGCATTTGTACTACTACAACGAGAAGAAATTACGTGTAATTATAAATGAAATCAGCCAGTGTTAAATATTAAAAGAATTGAGTGGAAGCCCTAGTTCCTTCGATAAATTTGAAGTACGAATTGAGTTTAATAAAAAGTCGCATTCAAAATTATTGTATTCATAGGATGCATAACATGGAATCAAAGGATCATTCCATGAATTGAAACAATTAAACTGATAAATCGAAATCGTTTGCTCCCACGAAAAATTGTGTTCTCTTCATGAAGCACATTTTATAATTATATACCGCGCTAAATAACAAAGTGAACTTCTTCAATAAAATCATTGTTCTTCGCGCAAGGGCATTGAAATTTTCATGCTAAATTAAGCAGATTTTTTGCGGTAGTGGCTATTGGCAGCGCTTTGCGCAAAAAATATTTTACGATTCATAATTAATTTAGTTTCAATTATTTATATCCACAAAAAAATCCCTTTTAAGATGTATTTCTATCTGGAGATCGTAAAAAGTTTGAATTTCCCTTACAGGTCGACTTATATAGATTTTCTCCAACTATATGCCCCACAGCTGGTCATTGCAAAGTTTCATATCAATAAACGACATTCAGAAAAATTAGTGGGTCAAAATGTTGAAATAATAACACACTTTCTCAAGCACATATAGAGCGAGGAGCAGACATAGCACTGATAAGTCTTTTTGCCGGGCCAAACTGGATCATGGTTACCCAAACAACAGCAAAAAGTGCATCAATACCTGGACAATGTCTCTCCCATTCCTCTGATTGCATACTCCAGTCTGCACGCAATCTCTGAGAGCATTCACAGATCAAATGGCACGAAAGAATGACATCGGGACGGCAAAAGCAAGCCTCCATCTCATCAAAGATATCCTTCGTAAATATGAACGGTCACTCACCTCAATCGTTTTGCTTCGTCGATGAAAGGACGCTTCTCGAGATCCGTGAGCAGTTTCCATTCGGCACCGAGTCGCTTCGAGATTTCCGAGTTGTGCATTTTTGGATTATCCAGAGCTATCTTCCTTCTTTTGATGCGGGACCAAACCATAAATGCATTCATGGGCCGCTTGACGTGTTCGTCCGACATGGCGATCGAGGAACTACTGCTAGGAGATGTGGATGAGGTTGAACACTTAAAGTTGTCACCCGATGCTGGACTTGACGATCTTAAATCTGACGAGTTTGGTGCGGAAGATTTAATGTCCGCATTCGGACTAAACGTGTCCCTAATGTTTTGTGGAGAAGCAAAACTGGGAATAAATCCCCCAGGGGGAAAAGGTAGAGAATATTTCGAGTCTTGCGACAGTCCATGGGTTATAAACATCGGGTGACCGAACCCAATGAAACTGTTGAAAAAAGGCGGGTGAATTTTGGGCATGTTGTTGGGCATTGATGTGGGCAAGTCCGTCTGTCCCATAGCTGCACTAAAAGTACCCTGAACTTGGCTCAAGTACTTGCTCTCCTGGAGCCTCTGGAGTGCAGCTGGTGCCGCTGGACTCCTACCATCTGAAGTACTGGACTGCAGGCCAGCCAGCTTTTGCTGGAACGATTGCAGACTTTGCATGTGTCGGAAGTGGGCTTCTTGGTTTTGGGTGGGCTCGTGCGGTGGTCGTAAATGGGTTTCTTGCCCCTCGGTGGCTTCACATAAAAACTTTTGATCCGCGCTGGTGTCAGACTCACACAATTTGGTTTGGGCGTCCTTTGGCTCGAGATCGTTTTCTGTTGTAGAGTCGACATCAGGCGTCGTGGAGCAGTTCGATACCATGTTGGTCCTCAACGAGGGGGAATACAGTTCTTCCCCACTATTGTTTCGAGGGGAAGGCGTACCCACGTTAGCCTGAGGGGAGCAGGCCCCGTTGTTGGGGATTAAGAAAGGGGAAACTCTTTTCTGACCCACCGGGGACGCAACTGAGTCTGGGGCTCTAACATGTGGCACCGGGGAAGGTGTCATGGCACCGACACAGGCTGACACTTCGTGGCACTGTTCTAGTAGAGCTCTCCGCTTCAGCTGATAGGCGTAGTGTTCGTGCAGGTGTTGCTGTAGATGGTGCAGGTAGTAGTGAGGAGGTAGGGAGGTTGGTGGTTGAGAAGGTATGGATGTGGTACGGCAGTCCAGTTCGTTATTGTAGTTCCCACCAAACATACTCAAGCCGTTTTCTGCTACGAGTTTCTTCGGGCATACGGACTTTTCGTGGTGATCGTCTCTTTAATGATGAATATCATCAGTTCACTGATTTTACTGGTGCTAATATACCACTTTACTGGTATGGTTAGTTAGATCTGATGTAATTTTCAAATTTGCTGGTGTAGCTGAAGTAGCTAGCATTGATTCAGTACATCACTTTACTGGTGTAGATAGTTGGCATTGACGTGGCATACTAATTTATTGGCGTAGCCCCGATGGAGTATATCACTTATGCTGGTATGAATAATAGGCAACATATATGGAGCGTAGTTTTTCTCACAAATAATTTTTCACTATTCTGAGGAAAAAAGAAATTTAACATCAATATTAAGAAGCATTAATGATGATAGTGATGAAGAAAATGTCAAATTATATGATAAAGAAGGAGCGAAAAATTATCATATGGTCTACGTAGAAACTGCGCTTAACCTGTTAATTTATGATAATTGTGTGTACGCTCTACGCATGCATGTACATAATCGAGGCTATCAGATTCAGAAAGGCGGCACCGCCAGCGTATATCGAGTATTGTTTGGTGACTATATAATATAATTATAATGTTAAATAGAATATGAAGCTAAATGAACAAAAGATCTAGTTTCATTGCTATCTAGAAACGACAAACTATTTATGGATTCATGTTCCTCGAATGTCCGAATATGATAAACTTTTGTGAAATGTTAAGATAATCGTAAAAAACACGAGTTAGGCTTGAAATTGGAAAGGTGTCAACGGCATATCGTCTGTAGAATATTAGCCTAAATCAAGAAGAAAATTGGACAGCCTCGTGAAAATGTATTAAAATATTTGAAAAGGCAGGGTCAATTAAAAGAAGGCTCATGCCCAAAAAGTTAATTTGTCAGTAGAACTTGCTATCGAATGCGAAAAAGGAGTTTTAAACTTATAGCACGGGAAATGTTCTAAAAAATTGAGGTGTAAAGCGTGACGAAGGCATTGGCATTTTAGAACAGAAATGTAGTATTCAAAATTGGCATATTCTAATTGGTTCAAAGAAGGTTTTATTAGTAAATAAATTTTTCACATCAATTAAAGCCATAGCTTAATATTTTCAAGCAGTAAAATTCTTCAAGTGCTCCACAAATTAACACACGAGTTGAGAATACCGGTTTGCCGTATAAGACAGTTCAAACCCGTAATCAGAAATGGGTCAAATTTAAAACTCGGAGTATTGTATGCAGCAAAAATTGTGCGGAATTACAATTTATCAGCAAAATCTAGTTCGTGAATTTTGGACAAGTAATACGCAATATTATATAGTGCTTGAGCCCGTGGCATGGAATTTAAAAAAGAATTCAGGTCAAAATGCGGCGAAATCTTTAGGTTTTCGTAATAAATGATAAATTTTGCTATATTATTAGATGCATATGCAATTTATAACTGAAAAACTGACGATTGAGCTGGACTTCAAAACGTTTCGTCTTTGAAAATTTTCTGATTTATTTGTGCCAATAACTTGCATTGTTTTATAATTGTTTGTAAATTTTCGATCTATGAAGATATGGTGAATTTTTACGTCACATTTATTGCTTCTAAATAACTAGTAAATTTTTTATTCATCTGACCAACTAATCTAAGTACTTGTATTCATTCTATTCATTCCGAGTTCTATATACGGCTTACATTTAAGATTAATGTGTTTGTGTATTCATGTGTATAAATGTTTTTGATGTATGTTATGTGTTTGACAGACGAGCCTGTGAATGTGAATAAAGAAAATGAATGAAGTGGTACTCATTAGAGAGATAGTGACTCTAGGAAATTATTGAAGTGGTGACACATTAGAGATAGTGAGTCTAAAAAGTGAATGAAGTGGTGATACATTAGAGATAGTGAGTCTAAAAAACGAATGAAGTAATGATACATTAGAGATAGTGAGTCTAGAAAATGAATGAAGTAATGATACATTAGAGATAGTGAGTCTAGAAAATGAATGAAGTAATGATACATTAGAGATAGTGAGTCTAGAAAATGAATGAAGTGATGACACATTAGAGAGCGTGAGTCTAGAAAATGAACATAGTGGTGACACATTAGAGATTGAAAGTAATTACAAATTAATGAGTTACGGCTCATTAAAAATTGTGTGATAGATAATGAATAAAGCGATTCAATAAAAATTATGTGCATTATAGTAACTGAATGAAGAGATCGCTCTGGAGAAATAAATATTTAACTTATCGTACGTATCGTTATGTGCGTTATAGCTATAGCTATACTTATATTCAGAAAACATGTCTATTGCAGAAACAGATATATTGAACAGTGTGATATATTCAATAAACAGATGTATCGAACCTTTTGATATCTTGATTTAAACGCATATATTTAATAAACAGAATTGAACATTGTGATAGATTTATTTGAACGCATACAATAAATAAACAGATATACTGAGCAGTGTGAAACATTCACTTGAACGGTTATACTGAGGGAACATCTATATATATATATATATTGGCTTATGCATAGAAGTCAATATATAGTATATTAACAGGTCTGATCAGCTAGAGGCCTGCAAAGTATTTTCGAAGTCGATAATTTAGAATCGCTTGTCGTGGAGCGAAAGATCAATTTGTCATCGTACATTTTCTTCTTAGAAATGTGTTCACTAGTTGCTAGAATTAATGTTTAATTGAACTAACTCATATATAGCTAGAAATAGAATTAATGTTTCAATTGGTTCGCTATAAGCCAGAATCGTATGTTAAAATGGGCTCACTATCAGCCAGAATTGTGTGTTGAAATGGGCTCACTATCAGCCAGAATCGCGTGTTGAAACTGGTTCACTATCGACTAGAATCGTGTGATAAATGTGATCACTATCAGACAGAATCGTATGTTTAAATTGGTTCACTATCGCCATAATTAATCGTAAGTGTTGAAATTGGTACACTATCAGTTGTGGAATCGTACGTTGAAATGGGCTCACTATCAGCCAGAATCGTATGTTGAAATGGGTTCGCTCAGCCAGAATCGTATATTAAATGGAATCACTATCAGCCAAAATCGTATGTTAAATGGGTTCACTATCAGCCAGAATCATATGTTGATATGCGTTCACTATCAGCCAGATTCGTATGTAAAATGTTTCCAACATCAGCCAGAATCGTATGTTACATGTGTTCACTATCAGCCAGAATCGTATGTAAAATGTATTCACTATCAATAAGAATCGTACGTTGAAATGCGTTCACTATCAGCCAGAATCGCACGTGAAATGGGTTCACTATCAGCCAGAATCGCACGTGAAATGTGTTCACTATCAACCAGAATCGAATCCTATATAATGAGCATAAAATTGTGTACCAATTTAACGACAGAGGCACCAGGATAAATAGTGATGTGAAGTTGCATTTTTAAATATCAAGGCCTATCCAATATAATGATGGAAAATGGTGGAAGTTTTCAGTAATTTTAAAAATTAAATTCTTAATGAGAGTAAATTTTTGGTTTTTCTTAATAATTCTTGGAAGTAAATACTACGATAATTCTTCATTTCTTACAGGATTTATCCATATGAGAATTGCCATCGATTTTGGATAAAAAAATTGGACATCTAAAATCCTCACACTCTAATCTGGGTCGCGAAAAAATCTGTGTCATGTATGTGAAAAATTAAGTAAAAACCATTTAATAGTAGAAATCAGAAAAAAATAGAAAAAAAATCATTTTTCATCTGATGACCCTTGAAATGTCGTCCATCTAATCGCCACCTGAAGCGTGATGAAACACGCTGTCATGTACGTGTAAAATGTAAGAAAAAATTATTTAATAGAAATCTCATGTGAAAAAAATCCCGAATTTTCTCATCTCATGACCCTTGAAATGTCGTCCATGAAGCGTGATGAAATACGCGTGTAATGTCGTCCATGAAGCGTGATGAAACACGCGTGTAAACAATCACTCACCTGTTCACCACGCTCACCACGCACACGCGCACCACGCACCACGACGCGTCGCAACGCTCTGACGGGAGTTCACCTCCACCAGCGCCGCCGTCCGCGCAAAAAATGCTCCGCCGCGCCAAAAATTCGCTTCAAAACATATATTGAAATTCACATGATGCCACGTGACGCGACGCGCCAATCACAAGGGCGGATCCTACGCGAGCTCAGAATGACCTCGCGTGTGAGGGGGAGGAGCCTACACGTGGGGCGGAGCTCCCGCAGCGAAGTGGACCAATCATCGCCCAGAATTCGGGAGTAAAGTGAGGTCACATCGATGACGTCATCAAGAGTAAGATAGTTAACGAGGCTCAACAGCCAATCAAAGGCCACGTTACAAACATGCCGCCCCTCATTCTTTGCCCCCAGCAAGGATCTGTTGACATCGAGTCGGTTTTTGTCATCACTGGATTGCAATCGGATTTGTTGTTATTGTTTTCACAAATTTAGCGCTTTTAATCTCGTTAGATGCGAGGCAAGAGGTAAAAAACGGCCGCTCTGTAAGTGTGTTGTTGACTGCAGCTGCATTCTCCCACTCAAACCTCACCATTTTGCCTTGTTAAGGAAGCTTTTGAATAAGCGGTGTCAGATACAGGGTAATCTAGGGAAAAAGCGTCAGATAAAGGGTAATATTGAATAAAAACGTCAGATACAGGGTAATATAGGGTAAAGGCGTCAGATGCGTGATAATCTATGGTAAGAGCGTCAAATCTAAGGTAATCTAGGGTAGAGCATCAAATACAGGGAAATCTAGGGTAAACGCTTCAACTTCAGGGTAATCTAATGTAAACCTAAAGTCAATCTAATGGTTGTCTTCATTCTGACAAATCAACCACAGTACAAAATTATACAATATAACCGTACAGTGATCAACCTTTGTGTGACCGGGATTAAATAACGGCTGCTGTAGGTGCACATAACGTATCCTTAGTGTATGTTGCAGACGTAGCAGTCCCAGGCCACGCAACAGATGGCCCTCAGATGGGCCAGCTGATACCCTCAGTTGGACCAGCTGATGCCTTCAGTTTGGCCAGCTGATGCCCTCAGATGGGCCAGCTGATGCCCTCAGTTGGGCCAGCTGATGCCTTCAGTTTGGCCAGCTGATGCCTTCAGTTTGGCCAGCTGATGCCTTCAGTTTGGCCAGCTGATGCCCTCAGTTGGGCCAGCTGATGCCCTCAGTTGGGCCAGCTGATGCCTTCAGTTTGGCCAGCTGATGCCCTTAGTTGGACCAGCTGATGCCCTCAGTTGGGCCAGCTGATGCCCTCAGTTGGGCCAGCTGATGCCCTCAGTTGGGCCAGCTGATGCCCTCATTTGGACCAGCTGATGCCCTCAGTTGGACCAGCTGATGCCCTCAGTTGGGCCAGCTGATGCCCTCAGTTGGGCCAGCTGATGCCCTCAGTTGGGCCAGCTGATGCCCTCAGTTGGGCCGGCTGATGATGGGTGGAAGGGGGAGAAAAAGGGGATAGAAAGGACGAAGAGAATAGAAGGGATGGAGGAAGGTAGGACAAGAGACAAGGATGGATGGAGGGAGGGAAATGGAGATAGGGAAAGAGAAGGGAAGGTATGGAGGAAAGTAGTGGAGGGAAATTCAAGGAAGTGAAAGAAAATAGTGAGGGTTGACAATGAGTTGGCACTCTAACAGTATTCGAGGACCACCTAAGCTTCGACCGAATTGTTTGTACGCAATAGTTGCGCAAAGTTATTCTAGGTCTGCTTGACAACCCGATCAAATCAACTTCTGGCCTGAATTTCCTTTCTTAATTAAATTATAGTTTATAGTCGCCTGAGAGTAGGACAATTAAGTGTGTTCTGAGAGTATGACAATTAAGGGTTGGCCGAGTCATACCGAGCTGCTCAGAGGCTGCCCTTCAAACCCAGACCCGAAGCGGACGAACATGAGCGGCTGATTTACGCGCTCCCCGAGTCCTGGGCGGAACCTAATGCAGAGTCGGGCACGGCCTGACTGAGGGCAAATTCAAGGCTTGACTAAAGGCAAGTCTGGTGTCGACCGAATGCAAGTCAAGGCTTGACTGCAGGCAAGTCTGGTGTCGACCGAATGCAAGTCAAGGCTTGACTGCAGGCAAGTCTAGTGTCAACCGAATGCAAGTCAAGGCTTGTCTGAAGGCAAGTCTTGTCTCGAACGAAGGCAAGTCAAGGCTTGACTGAAGACAAATTTAAGGCCCAACTGAGGGCAAATCAAGCCCCGACTGAAAGTAAGTCAAGGCAGGCAAATTATCCAGGCGAACACATAAGTTGTTCATTCGCCCGTCCAGCTTTTGCGCCAAGCTTATAACAGTTTCAAAAATTTCAATAACGCAGTCTTTCGAAAATAAACAGGATCTTCAAAGTCTTAAAAATTGCACACAAACACAATCCTCCGAAAATAAACAGGATCTCCAATAAGAGCTTGCCGGAGTTTTTCCAATGAAGCGATTCATTTTTGGGAAAGTTTTGAGTCTCATAAAAAATCTTTTGAAAAGTTTCGGAATAAGCTTGGCTATTATCACCGCTGCATCACTCACGGAAATAAGTGAGACTATGTCAAAATTTTGATGCACTTTTCGGTTGTGATTCAAAATTTTGATGCACTTTTCGCTTATGATGCACTTGTGTGTGTCATCCTGAGCTGGTTTGACGTATCAAAAATGTGTTTCAATGCTGCGTTCGCTCCCCGACCGTGCTGTGCGTAAGAAAGCGTATCACTACTTGGACAATTAAACACATTTATTTGTCTGAGTGAGTTCAACTTCAACTCGCTTTATTTGGACAGATCAGTTCTGGCGCGTAAGTTTTAATTATAATCAACACTTTAAAAGATGAAATAAGCGACAATAAAGCTTCGCTTTAATGTGGACATTGTTGACTCACTCGCTCGGATATGAGAGATTGTGTGAGCTAAAACATAATGAAATAGCGAAATTGCTTTTTCTTTGTTTATTTATTAAAGCGATATTTCATTTTTTTATTATAGCGACATTTCTATTTCCCATTTCTCTTTTTTATTCTTAATTTTTACTCTTTTTTTTTCTAAAAAATTTATTTTATTAACTAATTACGGGATTGTTCAATAAATATGTAGGATATTTATGAACTGTTCTGCGAATTCGTCGCAACAACTTTACTTGATAACCAATAACTTTGAGTGAATTTAGAGAAGATAAAAGATTAGTTATATAAACAAAGTGACTGTTTCTGAATGCTTAAATGGTCGGATGATAGCATATGTTAATAATGAGGTATGTTGATAATGAGGCATGTTGATAATGAGGCATGTTGATAGTGAGGCATGTTGATAATGAGGCATGTTGATAATGAGGCATGTTGATAATGAGGCATGTTGATAACGAGGCATGTTGATAATGAGGCATGTTGATAACGAGGCATGTTGATAATGAGGCGTGTTGATGTTGGGGCATGTTGATGGTGGGGGCATGTTGCTGTTGATGCATGTTGACGTTTGTTGATATAGTAGGTTGTTTTAGGTAGCACTTTGATGTTAGAATTACATACCATAGTTATGGCGAGATTGGTCCAGGATTATTTATTCAGACTTCTAAAAAATCAGTTACGTCGACATGCATATAAAACACGCTTTCCAACTTCAAATCAATTATTCGTTGATCAAAACGAATCACTTTAGCCGAAAAAATTTCAATTCCCTGAACTGCTGTCTATGCAAAAATATTTCCGTTTCTTATTGGACATTTTCGACAACCAACGATGACGAGGTATAAAGCCAATAGATTTTTTAGGAATAATCGAATCACGGGAGCGAAAGTAGCGCCGAACATTTCTATTTATTCAGAGATGATCATTAATCCGCATGTCGTCTTTGATGTTCAGTAAAACAATTTTGTTCCGAACACGGACGCCATCATAGAAATTTCCCTACAAAACAGAAAAAAAATATCCTTAGTATCTTTTGATATTTCAGTTAACGTCCACTGCAGGATAACGTCCAGTGCAGGATAACGTCCAGTGCAGGATAACGTCCACTGCAGAATAACGTCCACTGCAGAATAACGTCCACTGCAGAATAACGTCCACTGCAGGATAACGTCCAGTGCAGGATAACGTCCACTGCAGGATAACGTCCACTGCATGATAACGTCCAGTGCAAGATAACGTCCACTGCAGGATAACGTCCAGTGCAGGATAACGTCCACTGCATGATAACGTCCAGTGCAAGATAACGTCCACTGCAGGATAACGTCCAGTGCAGAATACTATTCAATGCAGAATACATTTAAGCTAGTGGCAGGGCAAGAGTTTGTCGTCACTAATGGTCAGACGCTCAGTGGTGCGCTCAGTGGTGCGCTCAGTGGTGCGTAGCAATCAGTGCGCTTGTTAAGCGTGCGTGCTCTCCTATTCACAACGCATTATTTCCTTATCAGTGATTGGCTTCAGCCTCTTATCACTGATTGGACGCTGCTCCTTTGAAGGAATAACCTTCGCTTCACCACAGATGCTTCTGGATTTTTTTCGGGTTTCGTTAACCAAGTTCCGTAATTGGCCGACCGACGCTGCCAAACAGCGCTTATAAGGCGGCCAAAGGCGACTTAAAATGCGACTTAAAAGGTGACCAAAGGCGAACAATGGCGTATTAAAATGAGACAGAAAAGGCGACCAAAGGTAACTTAAAGGGCGACCAAAGCAAAACTTAAAAGTCGACCAGAGGAAACTTAAAAGACATTTAAGGGCAATTTAAAAATGTGAACAAAGTCAACCCAACAGGTGAATAAAGGCGGCCTAACAGGCTAATTTTAAGGCGACCAGAAGCGACTTAAAGGCGACTTAAAATGCAAATTAAAAGGCGACCAAAGGCAACTTAAGACACGACTTAAGGCAACCTAAAATGCGACTTAGAAGGCGAACAGAATTCCATCGTAAAGATTGTTGGGATTTATGACCAGATTTGTGCCGGCCAAACGGCGCTTATAAGGCGACCACAACCCGACCATAAAGCTAATACAATGGATTTGGTGCATGCAATACAAGGCG